GCTGCATCGCAGCCTTTTCGGACCAAAACCAGTCGACTCAGCGTCCAAAAGACTACAACATATGGGCCATTCGCGGTCATCCGTGCTTTTATAAGAACGAAATGGCGCTTTTAGTGACATTTTGCATACAAATCCCCATCTAGTAGGGCGCAGTCACCCAGTTTCGGTTGAAGTGCGCGAGTTCGATTGGGAATAAAGGAGGAAGGGAGCGTCTCAATTTCCTCGGACCAAGACCATTCGACTCAGCGCTCCGAAGACTACAACTGGTGAAAATTTGATTTTAGGGTATACTTCCCCTTTAATCACGCTCTACCACTCTCTGTCCTGCAGGCTGCCCGTCCGGAGCCGTTGCTTGACATGGTCAAGATGTCTGGCTTTGGCTCTTGCTAGACATCTTGTTGAGTCAAGGAATGCTAGCCTGTACGTACACTGGAGCGCTCAATTTCTGGGGTCATCGCGGAATTTCCGCCAGGCATTGCGCTTTCTGTCAACTGCTGCAGAGCATTCTGGCGGCCACCAGATTGGATCCTGCGGTCTGGTCTTGAAGACCTTGGATGGTATAAAGCGTTGCATTCCCTCAGTGATTCGCATGGTCAGAAGCTCACATGATATGTTAGGGTCGCCGCCGATTATTGTGCCCCAGTCAGTAGTCCGGAGGAAGGCAGAGAGGCGGGGCTTTCAGCCCGCTGGTATCGCCATACTGTACGAGTGGTGGGTTGGTCTACAGATGCAGTAAGCTGGAAGTCGGCAATGACAACAGCATGGTCTGATCTGCCAAGAGGTGGTTGGGTGGTCGTAGACACAGTTCCAGGCACATCTGACATGACGAGGTCAAGGATGTTTTCTCCACGAGTGGCTGAGGTGACGTGTTGTCGGAGACCATGTACACAGCACATGTCTTCTGCAGCTTCTCCAGCAGCCGAGGTGCGTGGACTTCCAAGCCATTCCCGGTTGTGGGCATTGAAGTCCCCTGCCACAATAATGTGTGAGCAGGACTGCGGGGCTTTGTCGATGTCAGATTCCAGCTGGGTGAAGATACTGCAGTCGCTGTCTGCACTCGTCCCAGGTCTGTAGGCAGCACAGATGCCAAATTTCATGCCTGACGGTGCAGCAACACTAATCCAAAGAGTTTCACACTCAGAGTTGATGTCCAGTTGTTTGTACGCCATCCCTTCTTTCAGCCATATGGCGACTCCGCCGCCTTGCGCTGTCCGGTCTCGACGTATTGGGGGGTAATAGTCAGGGATTGAGACTTCCGCAACTGTAGCCTTGTCGGGCGATAGTTTGGTCTCGGTGACGACAGCGATGTCTACATGCAGGCTTTTCAGAGTATGCTGAAGCTCATCCATTTTGTTGTAGATGCTGAATGCATTCGTGAGCAGAAGACGGAGTGAGGGGGCCTTAGTTTTCATTGTGACCATTGGCGTTGTTTGGGCTGGTGCATGGCCTACATTGGGTGGTGGGCTCGTGGGTCTGTGTATCCTGCTGGGATGGCTGCGCACCATGCTGGTCAGCTCGCTTTGCATCCTGCGGCAGCGAATCTGGTGACCATTCTGCAGAGGAACGTTTGTGGCTGTGAAAGGGGGTTACAGGTGTGCCGGCAGCGGCAGCGGACAGGCCACGACTCGCGCTCAGGAAGTCGTTAATTGTGGCGCCAATCCCAAGTTGCTGTTGCTCTTGATCATGCTGCTGTGCTTCCAGCTGGTTGGTGCTACTGTCGCTACTGCTGCTGCGGCGACTGCTGGTGCTGCTGCGGTGACCACTGGTGCTGCTGCGGCGACTGCTGGTGCTGCTGCTGCTGGTGTTGTTGTTGGCGTTGTTGCTGCTGCTGCTGCTGTTGTTGTGCTTGTTGTGGCTGCTGCTCTTGCTGCTGCTGATGCTTTTGGCCGCATTTGCATTTGTGGAGGTGTGGAATCTCCACGGCCTGCAGTAGAGCGGCCTTGGCCAGAAATTGGCTGATATCACTGTCAGCTTGCAGGTGGCATCAACTGATATCCTGGCGGACACTTGCCCGTTTCCGGCTGTGTGTAGGCTGCATTGGTGGGCTTTGACAGGCGTCCCCAAGCTTTCCGACCTGCGGTGTACAAACTCAGTGAGGCTGTCCACCGTACAGTTGGGGCTCAAGTTGCCCACAAAGAACACCGATCGCTTCTTTCTTGGTGGGCCCGCGGCAACTAATTTCCAACTGTCATCCTTGATGACGGCCAGGATAGGTTGGCTCTTCTCGCAGTTTGATTGCACAGGCTCAGGATCGACCAAGCTGGGGTCGTCCGTACGGGTACGGGTTTCGTGCTGTGCAGAGCCAGAGGTCACTTCGGCCTGCCCTGACTGTTGTCCATCATGTGCATCTGCTGGGTCAAGCTGGTTTGCTGCTGAGTCAAGCTGGGGAGGTTTCGTACGGGTACGAGATTTGTCGCCTTGGGCTTGGTGCTGAGATCGTGCCTTGTCGGGAACAATGGCGGATTTCTGCAGGGAACAAAATTCCTCACGGAGGCCTAGGAGCTGCGCGGAGAGGTCGTCCACACGCTGATGGAGACGCGCCTCACGATCCCTCGACTCACTGACATAAAAAGTCAGGGTCTGCAGCACGCTGAGCAGAGTCTGCTCTATCCCCGGGAGGGAGCAGAGAAGTTTCATTGCAGGCTCTCCTGCGAGCTCGCCCATGGCGAAGAAGTTCTCCCTGACTGCTTTACCTACCTACACCCCTACACTACGCTACCCTACACTGCCACTACTGGCCTACTTCCAGACCGGCCTGCTGCCGGCTGGGCTGTCAAAACACTACGGAGCTAAAAAAGTCACAACTGTCCACAGTCAGTGCATTTCATTGATCCTTTACCTGTAGTGTCTGGTGTTCCACAGGGGTCCATACTGGGTCCACTCCTTTTCCTAACTTATGTGAACGATCTGCCCTCTCTAGTTCCAGACGTCAGCGTTTTTGCTGATGACACTGCACTGTTGTGCTCTGACAGCTCGCCGTCCATCCTCGTTACCTCCATGCAGACCGGCATTAACTCCACCATAGCATGGATGGAACCTTGGAAGCTGAGGCCCAACATCGCGAAGACCGAAGCAATGTTCATCAGCCCATCGCCGCCCACTCAGCCGTTGCACTTTCCAGGAGCCAAAGCTAACGTTAAAATTGTTCATGAACACAAACACCTTGGTGTTATATTCGACAGCCATATGTCCTGGTCCCCACGGGTCCAGTCAGTATGCAAGCGAGCTAGCTCCTCCCTTGGCATGTTGCAACCTCACTGCCACCATTTAAATGACCATTGCCGAAAATTGTTCTTTACGTCGTAAATTCTACCTATATTTGATTACTGTGACACAACGTGGTGCGGTCTGTGTCAGGCCCTTCTTCAAACTCTGGAAACACACCAGCGTCTGCTTCTAAAATTCCTGTTTCGCAAAAAGATCAAATATTCTCCTCCCAACGTCTCTACAGTTAAGCTTCAGTATCTCCCCTCTTAGAGCGACACCAGCAACATCTTTGCATCCTTGTACACATGATCTTATTAGACCTGGCTCCCAAACACTTTGCTAAGTATAACTGGTTTGAGTCCACCAGATCAACACGTTATTCCTTCTCATTACCCCGTGCCAATACCTTCCTGTTTCTGAAATCTCCTATCTTCTCTGCGTACACTTCTCTGGTCTTCCCTGCCAACTAGCCTTAAAGCATGCACAGACATTAAGGAGTTCAAGCTTCAGCTTCTTCGTCCTAAATAATCTCACCATTTTCGTCATGCCTCCCTTTGCAGTACTCTCTTTGTTTCTCTCCTTATTATTCAGTTCGCCGCGGTTGGCTACCACCCGACTTCTCATGTATATTGGCAGTCTTCTGACGAGCCAGGAGATGTTGAATTAATAATAATAATAATAATAACAATAATAATAATCACCCTAGAAAACACAGTACATGTCAGGGAGTAGTAAAATACAGGGAGGTGACACGAGCATGTACGGCCAGTTTGACGATTGCCTCAGCACCGTTTTCACCCGCCGGGTGAGATTGGGGTACTATGGGTACCGAAGTGTGTAGACACGCGCGCGGATCAGGATTCTCTCGATCAGGGAGTAGTAAAATACCTACCGCCAAAGAGACTCCTTCTGCAGCCCGTAGAAACTCAGCGCTGAGAATTTCCAACAATTGTCTGCCTTCACAAAGTTTGGTAGTCGACCAAACTACCACTATGTCAGGATAGAAGTCCAGCAAGACTGGTATCACTTTGGAAGATATCCCTGCGTGCCGTAGATTTTTCCTGTGTCGATACAAGCTGTTTACGAGGACGTAGCCCGCATTTCAATCCTTGACAAACTTAGGAACATTTCATTCCGAAAAGTGAACTCCCGAATCTCTAGCATACCATAATATGAAATGCTCATCATCACAAAGAAGGTAGAGAAGTACTGGTTGATCACAACTGAGGAGAAATTAGTGCCGATCGTGTGGTGTCCTAGAGATTTTTTCGACTTCGAAATCGGTGCACTCGCTTTTCATCTCCAATCGTACACGTATTGTTCTCAAGGAAATCAACTTCGTTCTATTGCTCCATGCCGTCGATCGGGACGAATTTCGGAAGGGTGGTACCTTTCCATATGGCGATGACACAGATGTATCACAAGAGCAAAACAAATGCTGTTCCATGAGATGGATAGACCTTTTCATGGAATTAGTTCTTCGACAAATACTCAAGATTGATTCAGCAGATCATCTTTTTTTGCGAAAGAAAAAAAAACAAGCGCGAGGCACCCATCAAAAATCACGATTAGTGGCGTGTCACCTCCCTGTATTTTACTACTCCCTGGTACATGTACATGTAGTTGTAGTCGTCGTGGAGTGTGGCTGGTGAATTGTTCGTGTCGGCGCCTGCAAGCGTCCTGTTTCGGCTGGTCCCAAGACGAACCAATCATTGCCATGTAATTACGCATCGTTTTCAAACCTTATTCTTCCGATATGCATCACCATTCCGCACACTTTAGTACGACATGTAGTTCCAAAAACACACGGATACGTCCCTAAAAGAAGTTTTTGTTGTTGGTTTAGGTGATTGTGCTACAAAAAGGCGGGGGCACTAGAAGTCTACACAGAATAATAAGATAAGCAATGCAATGCAAGCGAAAAGCAGACCAGTGTATGTTGCGTCTAATTATTATGTACGATGCAGAAATCGATACACTTTGCAGATGTTATGCCACCAGCACTCACTAGCGCATGGGCAATGATGGTCTAGTGCGCAGAACATGCTCAATGTACTCCGAATGATGAAGAGGGAAATCATACATCTGATGATCTGAACGTGGTGTGCGCGAAGGCAGATGAAAGTGATGACTACATTAGCTATGTGATTGGCCGTGAGAAGTAGAGCAGCCGAAAAAGCAGTAGAGCAGCAGAACGTACATGTACATGTACATCATTGATTGCGCTAAAGGTGTCCGTCGGCGAATTGTCACCAGGGTGTTGAACGGAGTGTGGTGGGGGGGGGGGGGGGAGGTGCGAGAGAAGAGGTGAGTTGCAGGTCCGCACAGGCGATCCCTGGTCAATGCTGAGAGCCCATGAATCTTGCTTGATTGGTTCAGTGTCCTTTTAAAGAGGGCCACCAGCGGCAGGGGATGCATGTTGGGTGGCGATTCTAAATCTAGCTGCAAATTAAAGTATTACCTGAGAAACGTCTTCTCTGTGAAAGCAGGCCCTGGCGAGAATGTGTGACATCAAAGCTGCTTGAGGGTACTGTTAAAACCAGAGCTGCCGTCGGAGATTGGCTCAGGAGAGCGGCGACGTCTTGATGATATGCTGTCGAACCCGAGATAGGAGCGATGGTCGTTCGTGGACTTGTCCAAGACTTTACGGCCCACATGCCGATAAAATAGCCATGGAGGCGGAAGTTTGGTGACCGGATCCTTTGGGTGGGCCACACGGATACGGCGAGGGACCTTTTTGGAGAAGTACTGCCCGAAACAACTGTTTCCCACACGCGGCGTACCGAAGTTGATCATGATAGGATTTGTGTAGATTCCCCTGACTCGTATGTCGATCGTGGCCATTACGGCAAGAGCGCCTCCAAGGGAATGCCCCGTCACGTACAGCTCGGCGTCAGGATGAGCAGCTTTCAGTGTCATAATGTTACACAAAACTTCGGTTTGCAGGCTTTTGTATGCTACGTAGAATCCTTTGTGGACATATCCTGGTATTTTCGTCGTTCCTCCCAGCGCGTTGGGCCGTACTTGGACGAAATCTATGTTCGTAATCCAATTACGCACGTGGGTTATGAAATCTGATTTTGTTGTTCCCCGAAAGACAAGAACATTGGCATTCAGGGCAGCGTCATACCCCGAGTAGCAGGAAACTCTCGTACCCTTGTCTTCCATCACCGTCAACGGCTCGAATCCAGCCAGGTTCTCCTGGCACAACGAGCAGGACCAGGTCCGGATCAGGGCATGGTCTTTGACGTACGCCGTGGCGCTGTATGCCATCATCTTTCTCGCCAGAGTACCATCATACTCGTAGTCGCTCTTCTTGTTTTTGCCGCACTTCTTGACCCTGTCGAGAATGCCCGCTTCGGCTAGGTGAATGGTCTCTAACAACTCCACCACTACCACAAACGTCACCAGCAGACGGAGGAACTTTGTTGACTGAGCCATCGTGACTCTAGCGGAGAAGTAAGATCTGATTGCTCGTTCATTCCTCAACACTTTATATACTCTCGGGATGGAACGGACAATTCGTGTCATCAGGTGCGCAGGGAGCCTCCCAACCGTTGATAGCGATATCTCTGTAGCTTGGTACCAGACGTCACATGAGGTGCGCCGCCAAACCTATGTAACGGCGAACATTCGCAATAGACCAGTGGAGTTGTGTGTTGTACATGACTACACAGTATGGCTTGTTTTGATGCGAGAACAACGACAACAAGTGACCGAAACAGAACAAGAAACTGAAACGCACTCAAGGAAGGTTCCAAAAGGGGAAGAGGACACGAACTGGAGGAACCATAATCATATTATCATTCGGGAATTCCAGCGCAAGTACTGAGGACGGGTAAAGGCACAAACGACACCACGCATGTACACATTCATGTACTTCACCCCAACACGAATATCAGGTTCAATCCCCTCACCAGTTCAAGGTTGAATACGGCAAACAGTAGGGAATCATAAGTTTCTCTCCCAGTTATTGTTTTTCCTTCTCTGTAACGGGTGGTGTGCCCCGCATGTGAATGTTTACACCAGCTGAACACCTCATGGCATGCGACTGGCTACGTTGTGGGAAACAAGTTGTGACCGTTCCTGAAGTACTGAAGTGGAAGCCCACTTCAATAGCCATCACAGCATTGAATAAATTATGCCAGCACTCATTAGCAAGTGTTGTTCCCTTTGTACATGTACATGTAGGCGAGAATGGACTAAATGGTGGCCTTCTTGAGTTTATCTACACTACAGTGCTGGCAACTGAAATCCGACCCCTTAGCGGTGGGTTCACTTTCTAGCGGTCTCTGTTTCGTAGTTTTACCATCCCGTTTTGGGTCTTTGCGATGTGAGCGCACCGCTCAGGGGCTGGATTTTAGTTGCCAGCACTGTACATATCACGCAGTAACGTGTGGAGTCTGTCACTGTGTGTATATGTGGTTCAATTACATGTATGACAACAAGCTGCAGAACAGTTAGCAATAATACTTCGGTTCAAGTCTCCCCGTAGCATTTTCCTGCAGAGTGTGTCCGAAGCACTGGCATTTCTCAGCACCCTTACAAATTTCAGCTCCTCCCGGGACGTTTGAGGCCGGTACAAACTACAACACATACTCTGTACACGAAACTCAGCGATCGTGTTCAATTCGACCGAAAGGATTGTTGGAGCTCTTGGAGACACCTCACATCTCGCTACGCATCGATGGCCCCCTCGAAGACGGAGGAGGGAGAGTGGCGGAGCTGCAGGTTGCTTTATGGACGGACGATGAAGAGACGGTATTGCCGTGAGATTATTACTTGTAGTATCTGCCTTTTAGCTTGTCGTTCTTTGCTTATTGTGTACGCCAGCTCCGTATGTCCTGCCGCTATTTGGTCCCGTAAGACTTATCATTTACGCTAGTTGCCAACGTAGTTAGCACCCAATTTCAATCTCTTGATGCTTCCCTATCGGTATCGTCATTCTAAAATCAGCAGAGAACTCACGCCGAAAGAGAGCCATCGCTCTGCTTTCCGGAAATTGTTCTAGAATTGAATTTAAAAATCAGTTGAGAATGTAGGTGAACGGAGAAAAAATTGGAAACCGAAAATAGCACCGAATTGTGAGAAGTCCCAAATCAAAATTAGTTGAGGTAAATAAAAATGGAAAGCAACGCATGAAGTGTTGCCGATTCGACTTTCCTGTTGCTTTTATCTAACGTTATTAATTAATGATGCTACAAGCTCATTATAAACTTAATCAAGGAGTTCGGGATTGATCAGAAAGGTGCTTGTACATGCTTGGAATATATGCGAGATAAGATTCTGATCAACAGTATTCCGTGATGGGTCTGCTGGGGGGTGATAGGATTGAAGCGCATTCGCGCTGTACAGAGTTTGAGGCAAATGTATTGTAACACGCTTGGCTAACAAAATCGCAGCAAAGTCATAATACGTATGCTCAACACATGCTATGTGTCAGGGTGACTTGCAACAGATGAGTGTGTATGTATGTTTGTAAAACAGAGAGGTTTTAAAAGGTTTTAAAACACTTTTTCGTCCTCTTATTCTTTGTACGTATGTACGTATGTATGTATGTATGTATGTATGTATGTATGTATGTACATGTATGTGTGTATGTATGTGTGTATGTATGAGCAAGGTCTGCGATCCACCAGAATGCCACACCGCATAGTAATAGTGCACTGTTATTCTCCCCCTATAATTAAAATTTATTATGTGCGTGTGCGTCACTCTGTACTCCATGTTCACTGTTCGTAAAGAATAGTAGCCTACAAGTGTGAAATATGTCACTACGATATCACGAAGTATGGTCCTGGCCACTGACGAACCAAATGTCACGTGGAGAAAGGCATCCAGTCAAGTACATTCTAGTCACAAGGTATAGCTAATCGACCTTACAGCTGCATTGGGGTTGCCTGTTTCAGGGCTGGCGCGGAACTTGCGCCCATGGTAGCTTTT